AAAGATAGATTTTTAAATTTGGCAATGATTATACTTCAACTGGAATATGTATTTATTTATTTATGTAAGAAAAATGAGAAAATTTTTCAAACCATTATGAATTATTGGTATAGGGAGTACCTGAAAAGTCATAATCTCAGACATACTAAGATGTCTTTTTAAAGGTACAGTTATTTAATCTATATAGAAATGCCAATAAAACAGAAAGACAAATAATACAGAAAATAAAATCATGAAGGGAATCAAATATTGACTACTTACATTATTTTTAAAGGAAAAATGCTTTTTTAAGATGGTTAAAATAGTCTTTCACTTAAAAAAATAATTAAGAAATAAAAAAAAAAAACAGACCAAAGTAATCGCATATGCCTGTAATCCCAGAATTCAAGAAGCTGAGGCAGGAGAATCACAGTCAGTTCAAACCCAGTCTGGGTAGATAAGTGAGTTCAAGCCAGCCTGCACTGTATACTGAGACCCTGTCTCAAAAAACAAATAAATGGCTATGCACACTTCCTGTGAGGTGGCATCATGCATAAGCCATAGGGAGAACAACCAGACACTAGCTTCTCCTGGTGCGTGGGCTGAGACAAGAAGAGCCAGGTTGCCCTTCCCACCTCCATTAGCAACCAACTGATCCAGAGAAACATGGGCTGCAATAATAGCTAATGAGGTAAAATACAATTTAATGCTTGTAGTGTTCAGTGTTTCATTGACTTTGCAGGCCTAAAGCCAGTAGTCTGATCATCTATTCAGTGGATAACAATATACAATGTAGCAACTATGGGGGATGTTCTTCTGAATGTGGTAGCCACTGTTAATTCCCTATTATGTTGCTTTGAAGTCCTGTATCATTTTCATTGTTTTGTTGGGTTGGACTTTATTGTTTTATCTGGTTTGATTTCATTATATCTGATGGCATGGGCAGCTATTTCAAAGATAACGAGATATATTATGGTAGCTATTTTCAATTTACTATTATTTTGTTTTTGAAGTCCTATATTGTGGTCACTGTTTTGTTTGTATTGATTCTATTCTGCTCTATTCTGTTTGATTTTCCTATGTCTGATGGTATGGGCAGCTACTTTGAAGATAAGAAGCATTTTGGTAGCCATTGTTGATTTCCTATTATCTTGTTTTGAAATCTTATATCACTTATAGTATTTTGTTTTGATTGGATTTATTCTGTTTTATTTTGCTTGGGTTTAATATTTTAAAATAAAAAATTAAAAGTGAAAAATAAGTAAATAACAAAGAGAAAAGTATCTATAATGTATGATAAAATTCAATATCCTTATATAAAAGCACTTGAAAATCAGTAAAATTTTTAAAAGTTAAGAACAAGTTATGAACAGATAAAAACAATAAATATGTGAAATACGTTTCGTTATTAATAATCCAAATAAATGCAAATTTAAGTAAGATGGTATTATTTTGCTCATCAAAGTGGCAAAAAGAAAAGATAAAAGCAGAATAGGTACTAGCTAGGACAGTTTGTAGAAATATCCAACACTTTAAAAATATATTAATACTTTCACATAAAATTCTGCTTACTGGAAAATAATAGAAGTTGTTGTGAAAGGATGAATAGATATTTAAAATGATTCAAAGATGGAATTAAAAATAGGAAATACAAAAAATTATACATCTGTACAATGGAATACCATAAAATTAGAAATTAAAAAACTGACACAGGTACTAACTAGAAAGATATATGCCTTATATTATAAAAGAGCAGATTGCTACAAACACCTTATGCTGAATCCATACTGTGATCTACATTAATAGGACACCTAACTGCTGGTCAACACATATATGTGAAAATTCAAACAATGGGTGGTAGCAGTATAAATGGTTTTATTTTGTATTTTCCTGTGTTTTTTAAAATTCCTACCATAAACATGCATTATTCAATTTATTTCTACATCTACTATAGCTAGGGACAAAAGGAAAACCAGTAACTACCATAGTATCACATATTAGCTTTAAAGAGGTTGTAAGCAACTTGTCCCAAGAACATGGCTGATGAGTCACTCAACAGGATTTTGGGACAAAGGTCTCTCAAAACCCATGCTCTTAATCATTATGCTAGAAGTATCACAAACCAATTAAAGGGTAAAGATAAACTGAACCAACTGTTCCTAATGTATGTGAAAATTTTTGATATTATAAGACTCACTAGGAATCAGTGAGAGCACAATGATAAATCTGACCCATAGAAAATTTGGTCAACTATATGAACAAGAAATACACAAAGAAAAACTGGTGGATACACTTGTGATAAATTATTCAGCCTCATTAGTCAATGTAGAGCTGTCATGTTACAGAACAGAATCATCCCAGATTAATAGTATTTCCATAAATCTAATCACAGACTGGTAAGTGCTTTAAAAGAGGAGGCAAACTCCCAAAGTATAAAACCACAGTGCTACAGTATGCATACAGTTTTCCCGACTAGGCAAGAAGCTGCCCAGTGCAGAGCAGCTGGCAGTAGTGACTCACAAAGCTTGGTAGACTATATTGTATTTACTCCCTTTTTTGCTATTTTCAGAAATCTCTATCAATATCTAAGTAAAGCAGAGTGCTACCCAAACTTGAGTGTGATGATTGGGATACATTTTATTATCATCCACTAAAAAAATTAGTATTTTAAAAAATGAAAAATAAAACTATTTATAATAGTGGATGTAACTATATGTGCCCAATATTATTAGTACAAGAGTGCATATACATATATATCCATACACACACACACATATATATGATGAAAACATGCAGAGAATGACTAAATTAAAAACCTTCATTAAAGGAAAAGACACAATGCCATTAATCTGCCTCAAATACCCCTCCCATGTTTGAACACACTTAGCCCATTGTTCTTGCTACTTTCTGAAGAAGGTTTGAATGTCCTTTTCCTGACTGTCCTTGTGACCAAAAATACTGTGAATGCTACTGCCAAGGGCCGCTCTATGAAAAGGTGGGTTCCTAAAAATATTAGGGTGTGTCCTCATCCACTTTATTTACCACATCTGGCACCAACTGACCTCTAGCTCTTCCCCAAACTAAAAGTGACCATGAAAGGTAAATGTTCTGAGTCAACCGAAGACACTGAAGCAACCATAACAGAGCAACTAAAGACATAAAAGAGAATTTCAGATACATGAGTGTCTCTGTGTGTATAAATGTATGTGTAATTTATGTATATAAATGTCATAATAAAAGATATAACAGGAAAAACAGAATTAGGACAAATCTACATTATGGAATGTCAGATCACCATGTAACATTTTTTCATCATGCTTCTCACAATTTTTACATTTTTGTGACAATTTAAATACCTCTCTCTCTGTCTCTGTCTCCCTCTCTCTCTCCTCTCTCTTTCTCTCTTTTTCTCTAAAAAGATTGTAAGTTCCATGAGGCCAGAGCCCATGTTAGACTGTGACTTAGCAATCAATCTGTAGCATCATGTACAAAATGTTCAACAAGTATATTTAAAGCACTATGAAAAGGAGCTTAAAGATATCAAATTAAAATGCTTTTAGTGAGTAAAATGTAGCCTAAAAGATAATTGATAGTTAAGCACGAGCTACAAATTTGTTGCTGAAATTTCCAGCAACCAAAGCAAAGAGAAAACAAGATGTATTCTAAGAAAACTGTGTCAATATCCCTGGCACCAAATCATATAAACAAGTACCATTTGGCCATAAAAAAGGATAAATTTGAATCATTTGTAGGAAAACAGATGCACCCTGAGTTCATACTAGTCAAAGAGAGATGGCAGGTTAAATATTGTATGGTTTCACTAAGACACTCCAAGTATATATAATTTAAAGAATAAATGATGATAGGAAACATGCACTTCATGAAAAGAAATATGATCTGAGGATGGGAAGAGAGCAGAGACAGGAGAGATGAAGAGAAAGTAAAAGGACCCAAATGTGAAACATATATGCACAAATAGACTAGGATGAATATATTCACTATGTACCACAAGCATATACTAACATTTTTAAAAGAGAAAAATTATTCTGATAGGTTTTCACAAAGAGGTACTATGTGTGAGGTGAGGTACAACTATTGTCTTCAACATCATCCTCACAAACACAGTTGGGTGCCTGCCTCTTCTACCCTTTCTTGATATGCGTCAAGGGCACAAGACCAATGCACTGTTCAGCAAAATCAATTCTAGGGGGAACCTTTCAGGACCTATCCTATTGATAAATCATCATGCAACTTCAACTTACTCCCTAAGGTCCAATGCTACATTTTGGCTAGTCAAATCTCTTTTAAAGTACACTATTCAGCATTCCAAACATACAAAAATAAATGTAAATAAGGTAGACATTTGTACCAAAATTTAAGTAGTAGAGAGAGTAGGCCTTAAAACTTAGAAATTTCCAAGACAAATAAAAGGTTGTTATCTTAATAGATGTTAGTTCACAAATCATTTCTGCAGCATGGCTGAATACACAAATCCCAGAGTCCAGAGGTGACCTAAAGCTCTTTGCAGTAGAGACTGACCTAGGAGACCAGGATGGCAGGGAGGCCTCATTCCCCTGCTGTCCTCAGCATGCATGACGGATCACTGAGTAGCCAGACCACGATCTAACTCACTAAAAAATTCCTAATACCTCAGAATTACCAACTAACCAGTCAAAATATCAGCATAACCTATGCAGATTGCTTTGCCAATTACATGCCCTTCCAAAATTTCCAGTTATATGAAAGCACTGTCAAACCACATGAAGTCTTAAGGTCTCAAAATGAGATTCATCATGTTAAACTCAAAATTAGGCTTTTCTATACAACTTTACAGGTCTTTAAAGGAGTCTCATCAATTTTTTTCCTTTAATTCACTGGAGCTTTCTAAAATAATATCCAAACATTTATTTTAAGATATCCTACACTGTGAAATTAATCTCCCATTACATAATAGGTAAGTACAAGACACAATCATACAATCAATCCTTCAGTAAACTACCCTAAATCTTTTTTTTTTTCAGTTTGCTCCATTGCCATCCTAGCATGTTAATTATGCTGCTGACTCTTTCAAAGGATAAAGAAAATGTAAAATCAAACAGGATGTTTCTGAAGGACATCTTCACTTACTTCTAAGGATCCAAAAAGGAACACCAACAACAAAAGGATTTCTAAATCACAATCAAATTTTATTCCAAATCACATAATCTTTTGCCTAGGAAAATGAATAAAGACTTTTTAAAAACACAAATAAAAATAAGATAATGCAAAGCCTTGAAAAACAGTATTTTATCTATTATATATCCTAATTATTTTATTCATCTTTGATTTTATGGTAATTTTAAACATACATTCATCATTGCTTTTCAGTGACAATGCAAGGAAAGTATTGAATGAGAGGCAAAATCAGTTAAATCTATAATCCATTGCAGTGGCAAAGTCAAACTATGCATAATTTGAGTCCACATTTGTTACAAACTTGATGTGTGGCTTTTGGCATGTAACACTGTCCTTCTATTTTTAGTTTCTGCATCAAAAAAGTAAATATTTCATTCCTGCTGTAAAAGGCCAACATCCAAGAGTGGGAAAGGAATAAGTCCCATTTATTGGTATCTGGTTTATCCAAAATATATATGGACACTTTACTAGATATCTTTTATTGACAAAACAGTGAAAACCACTACATAAATGCTAGAAGAGATTTCTATTATTCTTGCCATCATAAATGACAAACATTTAGTAGAAAAGTTAGAGACCTCTTAAGTGTATAGTACTATAAATGATGACCTTCCCATCACTATACTTTGAATCATGGGAAATAAAGGTTTTTTGAACAAACACTTAATAAGCATATTAAATCTTCTCTTTGATTATGATACACTTTAGTAGCACATTCAGCAAAGTAAGTATCTATTAATGGGCCAGGCATTGTCTAACACTGGAAATACAATGGTGTACTTGTCATGGATATCCACAGTGTGGACTATATTATTTCAACTCTTACAGCAAAATACATTGTTCATTCTTTTGTCATTTAGTTAGAAGGCAGGGTATTTTCACAGTTTAAACTGCAACATATTTCAAAGAAAGAATTCTAGAGAATTCGGATTTTCTCATTCTCTGACCCAACATGATTTATAAGTAATATAATTCAAATGCTGAATACAATATGAATTAGGAAATGCTGAGTAGACACAATAAATTTAAGTTGGCATAGCACATTTTAAATTTTACTGATAACAGAAAGTTTGCTGTTGAATTAGCAAGTTTAAGAAGCATACAAATACAAAGATGAGGAGCCAGGGATATAACTCAGTGCCACAATACCTGCCTGGCAAGTGCAAGGTCAGGAGTTCAATCCTTGGTACAAAAAAAATAGAAAAAAAAAAAATCTAGAGAAACGACGATGATGTTACAGCACAATACTAAGAAACAAGAAAATCTGACGGGTAATCTGAAAAAGTTGGCAAGGACTTCTCTACAAATTCTGTAATTATGTATTTAGAAGTTTTTCTGATCAACATTTGTATGAGTCCACTTTATACCTGAGTTCATGGCAAAAGCTCATAAATCACTGAGCAAGATTTCCATAAATTTGACATCACTAGAGCCACTATCATCTGTCAGTACCAAAAATCACTCTTTTAAAAAGCAGAAACTTTAAAATGTTAAATATAGTTATTAAAGGAAAAGGCACATTAATAGTGAACATTACTGTGACTGAACAACAATAAATATTTTTAAGTGTTGTAATATCCTAGACCCAGTAGGACTCACAGGTTCAAAAACACCTGTCCTCTATGGCTCGCCAGAAAGTTGAAGAGACCAGCACACACTCATCAGCAATCTGTGAGGAAGGCGAAACCTGAGCAGGCCTTGGAGAGCCCTGGCCAGCAGCTGCAGCACTGCTCTGGACAGTGGGGACCAATACACAAGAAGCAGAGATAAGGAGAGACAGATAGCTGTCCTGTCCTGGGAGCACATGGGACTGACGTGTCACACTGGAAACTTGTATCAGCATAAAGAGAAGGTCCACGGCTCAGAGGGATGAGCCGGCCGAACACAGACTTGTTCAGGGGGAAACAGCTCGCAGCAAATGTCCACAGTTCTAAGGTTGAAAAGAGTATGATTGGGCTCATGATTCGAATACAAGATACTAAAATGGGACCAGGCATAGCAGTGTACACCTGTAATCCCAGCACTTGGGAGCCTGAGGCCATGACTTTGAGGTCAGCCGGCACTACAAAGTGAGTTCAAAGCCCATGTAAACTACACAGCAACATTTTGTTTCAAAAAAGAAAAAAAAATTGAAATAGGACCTGAGAAAACAGGCATTTATGAAATAAAATAAAATTGATTAGCTTTATAAAAAAATAAATAGATCTCAATAGGTACAGGGGTTCTCAGAGGACAGAATGGGCTGCTAAGGGCTTGTTAATGAGAACCAGTGGCCCGCTACCTCAACCAAGGCATGTGGGAAGAGCTCAGTGTTCGAGCTGAAAGGAAAAGGTAAAAAGCACTGAGCAAGCAAGACTTCCCACTATCGAACCAACAGGCACAAGGGAACACAGTGCTGCAAAGGAGACAGAAACAGGGGCAGGAGAGAAACATATGACCTTTAGGAAGAAGAGAAGCATGACACAGCTGCGCTTGCAACTCAAAAGCAGATGGGTACAACAGACACAGATGTGTTTCTCCCAAAAAGGGAAAATCACCACTCCCCCGACATAGGCAAGGCTATCTCAGAGAAAGGGACAGACAATCCAAAGCTGCGAACTGCTGTTGCTGAGCCTGAAGGATGTTCACAAAGGCCACATCAAGCAACACATCCTAAACCAGAAATCTCAAGCAAGCTTTCTGCTTCCTCCAGCCCCCGAATGACTTGAGAGTCACTATTAACTCAACCTGCTTTTTATGTCTCTACTCAACAAAATGTAGTGATAACATTGCCTGAAGAATTTCTGAAGAAAATGAATTCAACCTGAGATGGACCCAAGATTGTGAATGACTTACAATGTCTTCCTGGCGGATGAAGGCAAAGTCTAATGTTACTAATATTATGATATAGAGACCTTGGAGTTTATACCGGACATAAAATACTCTGCTGCGTTTACCACTGGGATATGCAAATTCGGAGCAGCAAAGAGGGGTTTCAAAACACACCCGCTTTCTGCAGAATCAGTGGCACATAAGCATTTGGACAGCATATGCAGATGGCCCAAATAAGCCTCATCCTTTACCATAAAGTTTTAGATTGATCTCTCTTTATTCCTTTCTGTTGTATGTTGATTTTCCCCTAACCCCTCCAAAAAAACTATTAACAGTAGAGAAACTCAATAAAATATTCTGCAAAGCATACTTCCCTTACTATTCTCTTCAATGGACTTCAAATTGTCCTGTGGTTTGAGATTCTTTCTTCTACAATCACTATCAATTCTAAAATAATTTAAACTTCCAAATGAGACAAAAAGCATAGAGAATAGTAAAACTCAAGCAGCTACTCCTAAAACAAAAATCAGAACAGTCTCACTGGCTTAAAACACATACGAAATTCTATCCCAAAAAAACTTCTCAAAAAAGTATTAAGACACTCCAGTTAAATGAACTTGAACTATTGAGTGCCTACTGCACCTTAGTCAATGTGCAATAACAATAAAATTACATCTCTGACCTAGAGGAGTTGTTTTGAGTATAAAGGACTTCCTAGCATCCAGAGAGCCTTACAATCCTGACAACCTTAGAGGCTGTTTCCAGTTTTAAGAACTCTCCACAGTCCTAGCCTCTAAGCCACAGGTACCCCAGGTACGCCACAGCCTCCAGACTGAAGCCCTGACTGCTGCCCATGCCATGTTACTGCTTCGAGAGCTCTCATAGCATAAATAATGAACACTTCATAAAAATGCATCCAGAGCTCAACCCTCAAGTAAATTCACCATTGTTGCCATCACCCTCCACTTGGACCCCTTGTGTTTTTATCAGTCTACACCCAGGTTCTCATTCTGGACCCAGACAAGCAGTTCAATGAGCCGGGTGTTCACCAGTGAACAGACAGTACACTTATTTGTGCTCCTGCTTCCTGACACAGAGCTCCCTAAAGCCCTGAGAGACAGATGTGATAGGAGAATCTTTGGCTCTAATATTCGCCTTTAATGCCAGTTACTGACACCTTTGCAATTTCTTGGATGAGAGGATCATCTATTGTTGTAATAAGATGACTCCTGAGCTCCTGGCTAGCTTCAAGATGAGGCTGCTTGTCAGGAGAACTAACCATGAGCTTCCTGGGTTGGAAAGTTCAGCCTCATTAACCTGCAGAGAGGAGAGAGGTACTAAAAGTTAAGTCCGGGAATGGATCTGTTATGGCTTGTCTCAGGATGTCCTCCTAAGGCCTCATGCAATCATAGATGGGACCTCTGGGAAGCAACTGGATTGTAGGGGCATTATATTGGGCTTACTATTGGGAGATCAGCCCAGGTCTAAAGACATGGGTCACTGTGGTGTGACCTAGAAGGTTGGATCTCTCTTCCCAGCGCCTCCCTTGACTCTCTGCTTCCTGGATGCCATGATAGAAGGAGCTTTTTCTCTTCTTCCCTTTGCCATGCTGTCCTGCCTTGAAAGCCAGCAGATTCCACAAACTGAGTTAAAATAAACTGAAACCTCTATAAACTGAGCCAAAATAAACCTCTCATCCTTTAATTTGGATGTCGGGTATTGTATCTCAGTGACAACTGAAACAATGCCAATGGTTTTGCAGATCGTGTTTACATAGTGAATCCTCCACAAAAGCCTGGGTTTGGACAGACTTCAACTGCTGACCGTATGAAGGGTCCTGAAAAGTGTCACACCTGGAAAATGATGTGGTTCCATGTCACTCTCCAGTACTCTACTGTATGCATTGATTTCATCAGGCAGCTCTTCTGCATCCTTCATAATATCCCTTATAATAAATCAGTAAATTAAGTGTTTCCTTGAGTTTCGTGAGTCAATCTAGTAAACTAAATGAACTCAAGAACAAGATCATGAAATCTTTGTTTACAGCAGTTGGCTAGATGTGTGACAAGCTACTACTCGCAAATGATGTCAAAAATAAAAGAGGTCTTATGGGATAGAATCCTAAACCTATGGGATCTGAGTCAAACTTCAACTAGGTAGTACCAGAATTGAACTGAATCAGAGGAAACACAGTTTGTATCCCCTGGAGAATTTCTTGGTAACCTAGACTGGATATAGTGTGTTTCCCAGAGGTTCATGTGCTATAAGACTGTTCCAACTGTGGCACTGTTAAGGTAACGGAACTTTTAAGAAGTGGGACCTAGTGGGAGGCAATTAGGTCTATAAGAAGAAAAAATACTTTTCTCAGGAAAAGTACTGATTCCCTAGGAAATCTCACAAAAGTTAGTTCTTACAAGGGAAACTGATGTCTCCCAGAATCTCTCTGGCCTCCTATCTCACCAGATAATCCCTCCTGCCTGTGATGCGACTGGCCACAGAGCTAACCAGATGACAGCATCCTGCGCTTTTGCTCTTGCAAGGCACTCTTGCAAGGTATGGGAACCATAACACCTCAGCTAAGGCTTGTGTCTACAGTGGAACCCCTGCACTCAGAGCTCCAGCCATGAGATGGCTTCATTCTTAGTACCATATCCTGTCTAATTCCAGTTCCCAGAGCCTTTCACCATGACAAAGGACCTCAGGATAACACATCCAGCTTCTGAGATAAAGGTAAGTTACACCAGTACACCAAACAGTTTCATAGACCAGCCCATGATTTAAAAGACCCAACCCTTTCTGACACAGAATGGTACATTGGTCATGAATATACTTCCTACTCTCTGCCACCCAAATCTTAAGCAGCTCTGTAGATTAGGCCCACATCTTTGCTTTGAAACCTTTCCATAGTACTATGTCCTATAATGAGCTATCCTTTCTCTGAAGTTAATACTTAAAAATCTAAAACCAGTCTTTCATACTACCCAGTTTTCTCAGAAACTCTCTATTCAATAAGTATTTATTAAATACTTAATGTGTACCAAGCACTGTGGAGGAACAAAAATATATGGCCTCTAGCCTTAAGGTCCTTTTGGTCTAAGATAAAGATGGAGTTATCTTTTTTTTATCGGTACCAGGGATCGAACTCATGACCGCATACTTGCAAGGCAGGTGTTTATGCCACTGAGCTAAATCCCCAGCCCCTTTTTTTGTTGTTTTCTTCTTTTTAAAATTTTTTTAAAGATGGAGTTATGAAAAGAATAAAACTGAAGTGCTCTTGAAACATATAGGACATGATAGAGTAAAGGAGAAATTACTCAATCCAATAGAATACGGCTTGAGGATGGGGCTTGCGGTATTGCAAGAAAACAACAGCCTTCACTCTGAGTCTTGAAAAGTGTTTGCTAGCAGATTCCAGGAGAAAACAGAACCTAAGCCAGGAAGATCCCAAGAACAACGTGATCAAAAGCCAAGAGTTATAAAATGTCCTGGTATGTTTAGTGATTGCTAGGAATTTGGTCTGGTTATAGCAGTGAGTTTGGTAAAAAATAAAAATAAAAAAAGGACTAACACTGGGCATAGGCCAAACTGTAGATGTCACTGATGTACACTCTGGAATCTGATCTTGGTCTAAAGCATTGAGTGACCGTTAATGGATTGTATGCAAACACCAGATTGCATGCTCATGGTAGTCACGCAGTGAAGATGGTAAATCCAGAGAGAGGAAGGTAGTTTAAAAAGTGACCTCAGTAGGCTAGATGGGATGATGCCTGTAATCCCAGCTGCTGGGAGCCTGAGGCAGGAGAAATGGTACAAATTCAAGGCCAACCTAGAGCTACACAGAAAATTTAAGGCCAGCCTGGACTACAGAGCAAGACCCTGTCTCAAGACAAAACAAAACAACCTCCACTACATTAGACTTGACCTTAACTTTGTCATTAAGACTTGACCTTAACCTCATGAATGGTCCTCTGGATCCAAAGACTGCTGATTCCAAGTTGAGCTTTCCTTAAAGATGGTAAATGGTAGAGAGAAATGAGTAGCACTGAGGAAAGGGTGCCAGTGTACTGTAGTAGGTCCACAAGATACTCAAGGTCTACTGACTTCTGAACAAGCTTTTAGAGAGTTAGATAGGGGTAGACAAACTTCAGCAGCTAGTCAGAGGCCTATTTTATGGGTATCCTGGGAAGCCATTTGGCAATCATATTAGAAGTTTCAATCTAACAAAAAAAATTTATTGACATGTTATTACTCTTCCTAATAACAACAAAGTAACCATACTACCTAGAAAGCATATATTTGTAAACTGGAATTGTGGTAGATAAAGACAAATAGAAAATTGTTTTGAATTTAGGTTACTGCTACACAAAAACAGCTATTTAATAAAAGAGTTTAATATTATGCTATCAGTCTTCCTATCTCAGAAATAAATGATGATATGTGACAGCCTACCTTCAGGGCTGTGAGAAAAAAATCAATGATCTTTTAACAATCTGAGCTCTGATATTTGCAAAGTGCTTTTGGTTCAGATGGGAAAAGCACTAGAAGAGGACACAAACAGATAAATCAATCAAGAGAAGAAGAAAAATAAAAGAAAGAAATAACTCACACAAGACAAACAAATCACTGCAAAGCAGAATTTTATTAAGCTATTCTTAGGCTGGAACCTCACACAAGCAATAGGCAACAAGAATTCCCGCAGAAGGGCCCTATTCTAGGAGCAACAGCCCCAGAAATACTTCTCTTGGGGCAGTGCTGACCACTAATGGCCAGCAGGTTCATTTCAGTTTCCCAAGAAGTCTCACAACTGACTTTGAAAAAGGCACTAATCAATCAGTTCTCTACATATTAATGCTACGGTTTCACGTGCTTTTAATATCAAAAAGCCTTCTTCGCTAAATCCAGAAGCAGTCAAGTTCCCTGGATCACACACTCTGCTTTTTGATGAAGAGTTCAGTTAATTTCTTCGGAGAGTTGTGAGATGCAGTGTCCTACTGAATCAGCACAGTATTATTTCCTTAAGATTTCAAGTGTAAGCAATATCGTCAGTTATAAACAAATGAACCATTCTGATTATTATTTTATCCTTATTATGTTTCTATAGATTTTGAAAGAAGGTCTATTTATCGGGTTTTCCTGATGGTCTACAGAATGGCCACATAGTTTAAAGTAGAGCATCACCTTTAGGGTATGAACACTTTAACCTTCCCCAAAGGACTGCTAGCCAGGGATCTACAGTCAAAACAAGAATTAGGATTTAACTCTTTATGTTTTTTTCTCCTTGTCCAACACTCTTTGAACTCCCCCAAGGTTTCTTTTTCCATATAGGTTTCTATTCTATTTTCAGGATAATAGATATGATTTCCACAGTTAAATCATGGAGCCCTTAAACCTTCATCAGTATTCATCATTAACATTAGCTTCAGCTGCTTTATCTTTTCTCTGAATTATTTAAAATATTACTTATATATAAATTAATCATTAAGTGTTTAACCTCCAAACACCTTTCTGAAATCCAGTTTATTGGTGATTTAAGTAAATGTGCATTT